CACCCCTTTTAAATTTATCATATCATTTTTTTATTAAATTTTTGATGTACAAGTTATAAATTTCTTTTTTGTTTATAATAAAATTTCTTCCAAAATTGCCACTCGAGAATTCTAGAAACCTACTGTAAATAACATCACCTTTATCATTATTAATATGTTTTTTGCAATGCCACAAATATTTGCAATTTTTTCGTCTACAACTTATTTTTTCCAGAAATAGCATTTCTTTTGTCATTGCTTTATCTAGAGTCTGTATCTTCCTTAACCACTCGCATGCAATCTCACTCCCCATGCAACCAAGCTGAGAACTCACCTCACTCCAAACATGGCAACTGTATACAGCCAAAATGCAAACCAAACAAAATTCGAAACTGAACATAGAGCCTGAGGTTTGTATTAGTGGATATGATGTGAGTTTCATTGATCTTCGTCGAACAAAACCAAGCAAATGAGAGTCCGCCTGTTGCATGAGATCAGACTAAAAAATATCAGCACGGAATGCATAGTTTGTCAACTGGGTTTTGTGTAAAGACTGATGTCTCGGCTAATCTTCTCCGGAATCTCGTTAATCTCTACAGCCAAAACCAAACATTGAATTTTTGATTGGCATAAGCATTAGATATAGGTGCAGGTCTGCGTTGAAGGAAGCTTCTGGAACCCTACGATCAGGATGTCTTTGCATCAGTTGGATTATTCAGACTTCGTGAAACTACCATGACGTTTGGAGGGACTCATCGTAGAATTCACTTCACATGATAACCTCGGTGAGCATACGAGATACATGTCGACGTACTTGGTTGGATATTGCAATCGAAGCGGCTTAAGTTTTGACATATCTCTATCTTGGTGGAAATCAGTCAGTAATGTGTAGAGATATTGAGTGATATTGGAAGAAGGTTGCTTATATAGTTTTTTCCATGTAGGACCTGCAAAAAACTATGGTATTTCTTCTGTTCCGTCACAAGTGAAGAAACTGCGTATCAGTGTCAGTCAACAGCCATGCTTGTGCTGGATCGATGTCGACGTTCTGTGCAGCAAACTTAGAAAATGGCAAAAACCAAATAAGGGTTATTTCACTTAGAATATCAGTAGTATATCAGTAATAGTGCAGCTTCCAAGTAACACACAGCCATTTTTTTTTATGCTCTTTATACCAATCTTTTAATCTTTGAATTGCATCATTAAAGTAGATACAAATTAAAGTAATAAAAAAAATAAGCTTATAATATAGCAATACTTAATTTCAAACTAGTTAATGTCAAAATTATTTTAAAAATAACAAGATGGATTAAATATATAATAATTCCTATAAATAGCATAGTTTAAGCAAATAAAATTTCTAGAAGAATTAAAGTCATCCACGAAGTCTACAAGCTCTACCCAATTTGTTGTTAGGTGAGGCTTTTATTTTAAAAGGATGAAGAAGATGTTTGGAAAAGATCCAATAGTGACACAGTTGCAAGCCATGGACTTCTTAGTCTCTTCTAGCAACAAGATTTGCCTATTAAAAGAGCTTTAAGAACTTAAGAATAATAAGTTAGAAGTAAAAGATAAGGAATTCAAGTACTCTTGGTCATTTTTAAAGGTCTATTAGAAATAGACAAGTTAAAAAATCAAATGCAATTTGAGCTTTTGCATCCTTTAGACTCGTTTGTTGAACTGCTACTACTTGAAGCAAAACCAATAAAAATGTTGTTTGAATTTATTGTGTCTCTAAATACACCAAAAAGAAGACATTGTCTTTATTTGTAGCTAAGTACAAAAACAAGCACATATCATCTTTAATCCTCTAAAGCATGCAATTTTAGAACATATTTTCTTAAATTTTCTTACAAGTCACAATATCAAAAATTAAGTCCATAAAAGAAATAGATGAGATGAAATTAACTATAGAGCATAAGAAGTTGACATTTAAGAAGTAAATATAAGCAAAAGAAAGTAAGGAAAAATAGAAAAAAGATTAAGCTTGCAAAAAGGGAGTTTTTATAGAGGCAAGATAAAGAAGAAAGAGATACAAGGCTACAAAGAAAAAAAGATAAGTGAGACAAGAAGCAATCCATAGTCTTTACTACCTTGTAGAAAGAGATGATTGTAGAAGAAGTAGAGTAATACTTGCACCTTTTTATCTTAGTCATTATAATTGATAGGCATGTTTCAATAAATTTACAATATTTTGCAAAAGTTGCAAGATACAACTACAAGCTATTATTTATTAGCAAAAGATCTATAGCATAGTTCATGGCCAAAGTTTTTTTTTTTAAAGCTAATCACAAAAAAAAAAAAAAAAAAAAAAAAAAAAAAAAATGTTCTAGACCAATAAGGCTTCTAGAGCGTATACTTCAATATTTGAGGCCTTCATGTGAAGTTGAATCTACTTATCTACCAATTCAGCTAATATATTGTGCAAAACAATACAAGTAGTAATCCACATTATAATCACCAACATATCTTAGATGTTATTTATCAATTTTTTGATCTTTTTTATTAAATTCTATTTTTCATTTATCACCTTCATGTAATATTAATTTATTATTTTATCGATAGCCACACAATAGTTGAATCATGTGTTGTTTTGTAGGAGCAAGGCTTAGAGCAATTAAATAGAATTTCTATTTTAAATAACACATAAATAGAGTTTACAAGCAAATATTTTCATGTATTAAAATACTTTTCAAGATTCTTATACAAAGAAGTGTTTTTGTAGATGGTGAAGTTATAAGAAGAATCAAGGCAGCCAAAGTAATAGGCAATGATCTATCACTTGCAATCATAGATAACTTAGAGAAATATTGAATATTTAAGCTTGTAGTTAAAATAAGTATCACATATTATTTATTTAGATTAAAGAAGTTAAATAGAAGTAAGTAGAAGTAGATTTGATGATATTTTATGGAAAAGCTTCTTAGAAGTTTCATAGATGCAGACTTGATTTTATACATATTTGTAAGTGATTGGTAGGTAGAAAATTTGGTTGATAAGTTGGCTACTTGTCATATATGTTGGTGACTTGTGATACAAATTGGTCGCCTATTGTATATGTTGGTGACTTATAATATAAGTTGGCCATATAGTATACATATAAGAAACTTGTTTTATAAGTTACACATGTGTTTCATAAGTTAGACATGTGTCAAAGGTCCTATCAAATGTTGCCACATAGCTCCTAGTTAAATAGTATATATGGAAACAAGAGTGAAGCCTTCTTCACTCTTGTCAACTTCTTTCTTGCTTTTAGTCTTGTTTCAAGAATTTTTAATTTTCTAATCTTTGCCAATAGCCATTATAGTTTCTTCTTGAATATATATGTTTAGTTTTTTTTATTTTTTTTATCATCTTTTTTTGAGAAACGTCTTACTTGATTATTTACATTCTATAAGTTTTTTTCCTTAATAATAAGTAGTATTGTTGATAGTTGATTTTTGATAGAGTGGCAAAGTTGTCCCATCCTCAAAGCCAATACAATCTAAAAAAGCCTTTTGTCTCTAGCATTATTAAGATCTCTTTCTTTCTCTTAGCATTTGGCCAATGGTTCTACTATCTTCTCATGTTATTAAGAGCTCGGATGACATGATTAGTATACATGAAGACAGAGCCTTTGTTGTTTCCTAAGGTTTTTTGTGCATAGTGCAGGGCTACTTCATTACCATAGTTACAAAGATGCATCAGATAGACAATAATTTGATATGTGATGGTTGCCTAAGAATAATAGCTATTGTTATAGAAGACAAGTTGTTTCTCAAGATGACCTATAAGCAAAAACTATCTTAAATGGTGCAAATCTACTACTTGAACATGATTGGCAACCGAGACATGAGGTAGTTTAATAAGAAGTCTTGACTTTTGGGAGCCAAAGTTCTATAGCTAATGTATCAAGCTTGCAATGCCAAAACATACAATTGATTGAGTTCTTCAAACTCCAAGTCATTGTTTTATATGTAAACAATCACACAAAGTTGTTGGAGGGTTGAGAGAAGTGTGCATTGTCCAAAAGACTTTGACATGTTGACAATTGTATTGCAGAAGCATAGAAGTTGACAAAAGCTAACAACAAGAATATCTAACTACTACTTAACTAAGTTTTCTTAAGAGCAAAACACAAAGCATGATACTAGGAGATCTTTTCTCAAATAGGTGTCAAATATTTCAAATGACTGCCTCTTGGAAACGTTATTAGAAGAATCTGTAATAAGTCTAATATTTTGGAAGATCAAGTCTGATATCAGTTGGCGGATCTTTTGAAATCAACGAACTTTCTTTTAAGTTTGACGCCCCCTATTGTTGGATTGCGCTTTACTGCCTCAATTATCCTCAGAATTACTCCTAGTGGGAATATGATGTGCCTTTCTAACAGAAGCAGGGCAGTCTTTGTCGAGATTATAGCAGTATGTAATTTATCGCAACGCCATAGAAAACATACACAATGAGATCGCTAAACGGGTCATGCAATGTGTCACTCATTAAACAGACATCAACCCAGAGTTGGGAGATAAGTGTTTTCCACAGGTCTTGGAACACGCTGATGCAGCAGCCGAAGACATTCGAAGACGATTTGAACTGCTTGAAAACGCACAAGATAGACAGAAACAGATAGCAAAGAAGGAAACGTTTGACCCCTGCTTGCAGACCTCCAACAGCAGGAATTGTGGGTTAAATAAATCAGCGACATAATGCTCATTGGTTAAAAATGAGGTCGTAGCATTCACTGTGACCAAGAAGTGGGTTGACAGACAGAAGACCACGAGTCAGTTCATGAACTGTTTCGTAAGTAGCCCGACTCTGAGTCGAGATAGATAAAGCACATACAATTGTCATTGTGTATGTCAAATTGACGGCAAGATAGATCACCTTAGTATCGGACACTCATGTTTTCAGTATGAATCTGAACAACAATTGAACTAATCCGCAAAACAAAGTCCACTCTTGCTGTGATGTTCGTATTCATATCCTCTGCACTTAAGACAAATACATTAATGGATCGACATCTGCAGACTCGAACTGAAGGAAGCTTAAAGACATCGAAACAATTAAAATATATACAAATCCAAGCAATTGTGTGGAGAATTATATGAGAAACTGCAATGTTTCCTTTGAGCACGAGGCGACTCCAAAGCTTCACTAATATCGATATGAGGCACATAGGATAACATCTTTAGCCACTACACATGGTATGAACCATACCCTACAGCATGATTACACAAAAGTGTTGGGCCTCGATGCCTTGTATGTGGTCTTCAGGCTTCTGGATGGTGGGCGGATCTTACGGGTGGTCAATGGGAACTTAATCTTAGAATTGTGAAACTGCTTAGTGTTCACACGCTTGCAAAGAGAAACCGGGATAGTCGCTGTCTTGATGATCTGGATGCATGGAAAACGCACCCGATGACGAGAAGCCATCTCATCGTACATCTGCTCTACTGCTCCATTGAGAGTAAGGTCACGGTACTCCTTGTACATGTTGTGGTAGCCAGTCCGGCTCTGATAACGCACCCAGATACCATAGTTCTTGATGGTGGTGGGATACTTCTCAAAAATCTGAAGGTTCAAAAACTACATTAGTAATAGAATTCGTAACGTCACTTTCAAGCCCATGATTAACATTGTTAACATAATTTCGCCCTCAAACAATGTATCTTCGCAAAAATGCAGATGTGAGGGAACAGCTTCAATTCTAACCCTCTTTCGGACTGCTGCAAGTGATGTTTACTATAGTTTCAACGCTGAAAAAGTTTTCAGACAACCACACATACCTCATTGATAGCAAGGAGTTGGCCGTGAGCCTTCTTCACCTTCTGCAGCTTCCTCAGGAAGTACCTGCAAAGGAAAAAATTCACTTCAAACTGAGAGATTACAAAAAATTGTACAGATAGCCGTGTGGAAGTACAGTGCTTCGCGCTGACTCCATTCTAAACACTAATTAATATTCAAAAATAATGACTGAGACCTGCTCTTAACGTAGCAAAATGCACTGGCCAGGAGGCAATTCTTGCTCTCTCAGACATAAATACCAAGCCAGGTTACCATATAATTTCTGAAGATCACAAATATTTTTTGAAGAGTGACTTACCAGAACTTCGACTTGGCGCGCACTTCGTTAGTGGCCCATAGCTTCATGCGGTAAGCCTTCGGGGTCTCATTGGTGGCAGTGGGCAGGGCCCGCCCTACCACCTGGTACTGGTGAAACTATTGGAACAAGACACGACCTTGATCAGCATCATCAAATTTCAGAAAAAGTACACTGAAACCATGATGAACAAACAGAAAGACCCGAAAAAAACTCCCACTTTCACTCCGTCTTAACTAACTCTCCATACAAGTTACATTGAAAAACAACTAGTCATCAGATGAGCTTCGTCATCAATGGACACATTCTCAGCAGCTGCTTCTAAATAGAAAATTACGTCATTCTACCAGGCCAGAAACCCAAAACCCTAACACTAAAACCCTAAAAATACAAACAAAAAAAAAGCAACGACAATAACAACACACACGCGAGTTACGAAGAAACGAAGACCTTTCTAGCGACAAAGACGAACAAGACGAAGACAGGGCCTTAGATAGCTAGAAATGCCGGATTCTAGAAAACCACCCCTGAAACATGAACAAAGACAACAGCTAAAATTCCAACAAAGCCAAGAATAGGGAGAAGTACGCACCCGAAAGCTCATGGCGGTGTACAGGAATCCCCGAGATGCGAAGCAGGGTAACGGGGCGACAGCCTGCCCTTCCTCCCAACCACACCCCCGACGCACACTGCAAAGAGAACACACGCAGCCTCCCTCGACGTCTTTCAAGCAGCCGCTCCTTCCCCTTCCTTAGGGTTTTCCATCGCTGTTCCCTGTTCACACCGCTCGTTTCAGAAAACTTGATTCGTGACAACCCAGCTTCGGACGCAATTACGTAGCAACTTCGAACACTTCCCTCCCAAATCTCTCTTCCACAGGATAGCATTGTGTTGAAAATAGTATGAGTTTCTGAATTGATTTGTGTGTGAATATAGATCGATATTGTATATGTGTGTGTTTGTGGCTATGTGCTGTGATGTCCACTACCAATGTTATTTGTTAGATCATGTGAACTGTGCCATATATGACACTGGTCTCACTGAACATAAACCAAACTAGAATTGAATTTAGAACAAGTTAATGTGCTTATTTTTGTGAAATTTATTTTGATTCTATAAATTAAATACCTATATGAATGTACGTATTTCTATGAGGTGAATAAAAGAGGTTTTTGATCATAATGTTTAAGAAGATCGTACAAAACTATTTCTTACAGCAACTACCAAAGCTTTGTTAGCAAGTGACAATGAATTGTTTTAAATCGACCACAACTCGATAAAACTAATTTGTCTATTCCACTATATAGCTGAGACTGATAAAAATAGCATGATTTCTAGTTCATGGATGGAAACCATGGAAAAATCGCTTTTAACAAATTCGATACAATATCTGGGTCTTCATCCACAATACAGTTTCTATGTAATCATTGAAACAAAAAAACTGAAAATATTTTATTGAAATCTCTTCGACCCCTGAATGCATATGATGCATTGTTTCGCTTTTGTTAGCGAAGTTTGAAGTTTGAAGTTGCTAGTCTTACCAGAATTCTTAAAACTTTGTTCAACATTAGAAAAGGGTCCAACTACATGGTCGTACTTAATTTCTTATACATCTGGCATAGTACGTGATTGGATTAGTTCTTCATTCTAGTTTTGAGCTGAACGATTTCAAGTGTTGCAGGCGTATTTAGATATTCAAGCTCAAACAATGAACTTCTATGAAAAGCCCCAGGGATTATCCAAACACGAACAAAACAAACCAAAATTCAAACCGCACCATACAACTGAATCCTCCATATTATTTTGGGGTAAAACAATTTAAATTGTTTAAAATATTAAAAAATAGCCAGGAGACAAATAATACTGCTGATTTGCCAACCAACAAAGAATACTACCAAGAGCGTTAAAAAACAGCGAGTGATGGGAACACTTCAAATCCTACCTGCAGTTTCACGTTATTAGATCTAACAATTGAAGATGAAAGAAATTGTGAGAAGGTATGAGAGCAATAATCAAAAAAAGATTAATCTGCCAGGGTCAGTTTCAGGCTGTTGTTTCAACAAAACCAAATTCCCAGCATTACCATGGCAACGCTAGAAAAGACTGAAATGGTCGATGACTCCATTCACTGCGTCGGACAAACCATACTTCGTGGTACAAGCATCGCCCAGACCCAACCTTCCCCGAGAAGAGCTTAAATGAAAAAATTCAATTAATCGCCAACACGGCCAGACAACAGCCAACAAGCAGCTTGAACAGCTCCAGAGGCGAATGTTGGCACGATGATGACGATTAAATCAATGTCATATGGCTGGACATGACATCCAACCTCATCTACAACCGGATAATACAACTACCAGTCACTCCATCGAAGAGTCAACACCTTCCCATCACCTCAAAGCTCCGCCTTGCCTGGATATCTCGGAAACGGAATCACGTCCCTGATGTTCTCCAACCCCGTCGCAAACAATATCATCCGCTCGAATCCAAGCCCAAACCCTGCGTGCTTCACTGTTCCGTGTCGCCGCAAATCTATGTACCACTCATACGGCTCCATCGGCAAGTTCATCTCCTTCAACCTGCGTATCCCCACACCACATCCATCCATCACTCATGCACCAACCTCTGTTTCGCCACTCCACCCAACCACCCACAACCACTCACTCATCGCGCCGTTCATCTGACTCACTTCATGTCACCTCCAAAACCACCTCAATCACGTTTTCACCTTCACCTACGTTCACCACCCCACATCCCCCTTCCCGCCTCAAACCCTCTCCTCCTATCACCATCAACCCCACCACATCTCTTACCTCCTCTCAAGAACGTCCTGACGCTCCTCCCTCTGACTCCCACCCACCAGCTCTCCAACCTGCACCACATACACACACGATCCATTATGTCCACTGCAACACACACCCGATTCTCTCCCCCCGCTGTGTTCCATCTCCACCACTGCACGTCCAATTCCCACCAATCGCACTCACGTGCCGCAACACCACACTCCAAACCCACCTTCGGTACCAGCACGTCCATAGCGGCCACCGTCTTCTCGTCGTCGTTCAGCCGCATGTAAAACGCTTTTATGTCCTTCGGGTAGTTGTACACAATCACTGGCTTCTTGTATATCTCCTCTGTCAAATACCTGCATCACTCCACCCACGTCGTTCAGAACATCCCCCACTCCACTCGGCCCCGCCATCCACCATGCCCCTTCACTTTCTCCCCATCCCAGCATTCCCCATGCCTCCCCGCCTGCCCACTCCTGTCCGTTTCGCTCACCTTTCATGTTCCGATGCTAGGTCGATTCCCCATTCCACCTTGTTCTCGAACTTCTTCTCTGTCACCTGCTCAATGCAACTCCACACTTCAGCATCCCATAATCTCTCATACTCTCCACCCCAGACCACCTTTTCAACGACTACGCTCAACCCTGATCTCCGCACCACTCCAATAACGTCTCCAACCCGCATATCCACACCCCCCCCCCTTTCAACACTACGCCTCCTAATCATTTCCCACGATACTGCTACATCCTCATCCACATCCACGCCCATTCAAGGAAACACCACACTTCGAGGTCCTTGCCTTCTCTAGTATCTCGATTGCTTCCGTGTACGTGATGCGCACGAACGGCGTCGACGCCACCAGCTTCAGACGATCCACGGCCGTCTTGTCATACATACTCGATATAAACTTCATGTCCTCCAGACAGTGGTCCAGCAACCACTGGCACATGAACCTCACGTAATCCTCCGCACAGTTCATGTCGTCCTGATCCATCCCATCCCATCCCATTCCAATCCCCCGCTTCAGCAACCGTCGCCCACCCTCGACTTCCGACTTCCACACATACTCACAATCACACCACAACCCACCCCCTGCTCGTCCAGCTCACCTGCAAGTCCGCAAACGCTATCTCTGGCTCGATCATCCAGAACTCCGCCAAGTGCCTCGTCGTGTGTGAGTTCTCCGCCCTGAACGTCGGCCCGAACGTGTACACGTTGCTCAGCGCACATGCATACATCTCCACTTGCATCTGCCCCGACACCGTCAGAAACGCTTGTCGTGCGAAAAAATCCGCTCCGAAATCCACCTCCCCGCCTTCTTTCCTCGGCATCCCGGGTTTCAGGCTCGCTCGTGCCTCCAAGTGTGCGGCGTGCTCCTTCGCCTTCATCAACGCCTGCACATCCACCAATTCCCGCACGGCTCAGGCGTCCGAAAACACAACCCTAACCCTCCTCTTCCTCGGGGTTTATCAATCCAGGGGTTTAGGGCTTCTCTCTGCTCCCAATTCACTACCTGCACCGACGGTTCCAACTCTTTCTTGTTCTTCTTCTGCGCCTTCAGCTCCTTCACCACCTCAGCCGCCTCCGCCACGACCTCTTGGGCTGCCTCCACCTCGGCCTGGCTCGGAGGTGGGTTCGCCGCATACTCGCGATCTCTCCTTTCCGTTTCGCTGAACAGCGTCGTCACTTGGAACATCTCGCCCGCGCCCTCGCAGTCGCTGGTCGTGATGATGGGAGTGTGCACCCACATGAACCCATTCCGGTCGAAGAACGTGTGCGTCGCCACAGCCAAAGCGTGCCTGATTCGCGCCACAGCCGAAATCTGGTACACAACTCACACCAATCGTCAGACTTGCTGACCACCCGATCTCCTACCCGCATCCCCAGGAATTGCCACCGAAACCCCAGCCCACAATGCGATACAGCCCACAATGCGATACAGCCCACTCACGGTGTTGGTGCGAGCCCGGAGGTGCAATTGGCTGCGAAGCGACTCCAGCGACAGCTTGGTCTTGGAAATGGGATACTTGGCGGCGTTCACGGTCCCAACATGCAGAATGGTCTCCACGAGCAGCTCCACCTTCTGCTTCTTGTCTTCAGGGGGCTCCACGAGCTTCCCTTGCACCAAGACGCTGGTCCCGGTGAGGGTGAGCTGCCGTTCCGTGGCGACAGTCGCGTCCACCAACACCTGCAAGTTGCCAATCCAGGATCCATCGTTCACCTCCAAGAAGGCAGACGCGGTCTTGCCCATGACACGGCCAGTCTTGACCCATCCTCCCACAGTCACCTTCTGCCCAATGAGCCCAACTCCACCGTCGGGTCGACCCAGAATGGATTTGATGAAGACGCGGCCGCTGTACTTGGAGTTGGCCACCATCTCCCGATCCCCAGCAACGGAGGGAGCAGCCTCCCCCGCGTGTGTCAACCCCTTCCCTCCCACCCCTCGCCTCAAACCCCCTCCTGGTCCAGAAATGTAGAAATGGATCTGGTAGTGCTTGTGGGAGGGTGCGATGCAAGCAGCGAAGCGCCTTCTCTCGCCCAGGTAGGCACTGCGAGAGAGAGAGAGTGAGTGCGTGGGTTGGGGGAGCTGGGTTCGCAGTTGTAGGGCAGAGCGGGCGTGAGGCTTGTGGCAGTCGGGGAAAGTGAGGCTGGCTTTGCTTAATTATAAATCATGGACCCCCCCCCCCCCCCATTTCCTAGTAAATTTTGTTTCTCCAGGCGTGGATTTGGGTTTTCCTTCTCCACATTGGGTGCTCATCTTTCTTTCACTTCAGGAGAACAGCTCTTCAGCCTGTCTTTTGAATCCGAAAACGATGTTTGTTGTTTTTTTGAGAGTTGTACCAATGTGTTGGTGGTGATTTGTAATTGAGTTTGTGGTGGTGCTCGTTTTGCTAATTTTGAGAGGTTTGTTTAGTTGAATTTCTTGTTGTTAAATGGTAGCATGTGTTGTACAGAGGTGGTTTCTGTTACAGATTCTATAAATGTTCTTATCAATCTCTGGCACAGTTTTCAAAAAAAATTGCTAGAATATTTTGAATCAGATAGGATATGAGATTTTGTAATTCTCATAATATTTTGAAAAAATGATAAAAGGCTTAGAATAAAGTATGCAAACGAAGTTATTTCAGATTTCATTACAAAATTGTCTGTTTAGTATCTTCATCCTTTTTAAGATAAACTAGAAGCAGTTATCCATTTAAAGATATATTAAAATTTTCAAATTAAAATAATTATTGATATTAAGTTATTTTTAAAAAAGAATATTAATTTCAAAATTTTCAAAACTGGACATCAATTTATTATTTTTTTCAATTTTTTTTCATGATTTTTAAAATAATTTTAATGAACTTTTTGCAGTTAGGAGCGGTTTTCCATCTTATATTAAAAATCATGCATGTAAGGTATGAGCTTTATATACTATAAATATAGGGACTTGTTAAAGCCACATCCCAACTTTGTCAAAGTCAAATCCCCTTACCACCTCATGATTTATTTTTGTACAAGTTCCATATCCCCCACCCCATTCCCATCCCACGTCCCCAGTACCCCCCCCCCACCCCTGGTCCGTACCCCACCACCTCGGTCCCAACCCCGCCACCATCCGCTCTGTCCCCGCCCCGTGCCCACTCTCCCCGACCCCACCCCCTGGTCCCCACCCCGCCATCCTGACCCCACCCCCCCGGTCCCAAATAATATAGACCTCTAATCTCTTCTAAACTTCATTAAAATTCATTCACCAATTCATTTGTATGTTTCCATATTTCCAAGGTTGATTTTTTGGGGTTCCATGGATTAGTCGAACTTTAATTTATGGAAATGCATTGCTTGTGTGGATTTCAGAAGCTTACTTTAGCAAATTTGGGCCTAGCTCTACAAACATTGTACTGAATAATCCTTTCAATAATGAGTTGTGGGACAATTGGCCTTTTAAAAATGCAAGCACATGATGTTATCTTGTGTAAATGGTATAAACATACTATAAAATTTATACATATGGAATCAATATATATATATATATTTATGCATTATTTTTACAAATCATAAACATAATTTAAAGTTGGTAAAAGAATGAGATATGAGAACAAAATAAAATAAATTATATAAGATTTGATTTTTAGAATTAAATAACAATAACAACATAAAAGCCAAGATTATTTTTTGAGGTGAAAATTTCAAAAGTGGAGTAATAAAACTTGAAGGAATACAATTTTTTTTGTTCTTGCATTAATTTTAAAATATAGAGTTTTTAATGTATTATATTTTTTAAAAATGTATTTGCATATATTGATTGATTTTCTCCACTTTTATTAATCATAAAGTAGTAAATATCTTAAAAGTATCACAATTTTTCATTTGCCTACTTTTATATTGTAAAAGAAATAAAATTTTGATATTTCTCTCATTCAATTTTTTTAAAATTTGCTTTATTTTTATATTGTTTTCACAAAGAATTGTGATTGTCTATAGAAATCATCCTACATTAATTTTTGATAGTTTAGAATTTAATAATTACCAAAAATATTAAAATTATTAGTTAAAAAGCTATTTCTTAAATAAAACATATTTAACTAATAGTTTTTATTAAAATTTATTAAATACAAACTATATAAAATAAAATAAAATAATTATAAAATATACTTGGTATTAATTTAAAAATATTTATTTTAGATGTAATTTTACATTATAAGTAATAAGATTTTATTTTCTTTCCAAAACTGTCATAATCACATTATAAATTTTAATAATATATATATATTTTCACACATGTATAATTTTCAATTGCTATTTTTTTTAAACATCTTTTCTATACAAAAGTAAAAGTCTATCAAATTCTTTTGAAGAACCCATTTATGTATTCAATATTTCTAACACAATCAAAGATGGTATAAATAGTGTTAAAAATAAGAACTTGATAAAAGTAATTAAAAAAATATAACAAAGTGGAAATAAAGAAGTATGTATATTAAAAAGAAACTGAAATGGCTATTACCAAAAGACAAGGAAGTTAGAGATTCTTGAATTTAGATTAGAAGTAAGAAAAGAATTGACAAGAGTGAAGATGACTTCACTCTTACTTCTATATATACTATCTAATTAGGACCTATGTGGCAATGTTCTATAGGACTTCTAATATGTGTTGACTTTGTAAGACACATGCCTTAGCTTATAAGGCAAGTTTTTTATGTGTGTGCCACATAGTTAGCTTGTTCTTCAAGCTACCAACATGAGTAGCACATAGCTAACTTGTTGACAATGTTTTCAACCTAAAAAGTTAATTATATATACTTATTAGGTCAAAGCAGTGTCTATAAAGCTTTTAGAAAGTTTTTATAGAAGATATTATGAAATTATCATATTTTTATCTACTTCTATCAAATCATATTGGTAATTATTATTTTACATGTATATATTCGTAATATTAATTTTTCTTCTAGAGATAAGTTCTATGAGGAGAGATTATCATATATTCAAAAAATCTAAGATGCGATGAATTGTATTTGCCACATACTCTAATCTTTATTCTCTTTAAAGATGGTTGATAAGGCCTTTCAACCATTAATAGTGTCCCATATCAATGTTGGAGTAGAGAGAATTTGTCTTAAGAAAGCGTTGAGCTATTGGCTATCACTAATTGCTCAATCAAGCCTCAAGATAAAAGAAAAATACCAAATTTATATATAAGATTGTCCTTATAGGAGCAATTACATCAATACACAAGTCCTAAGTACCAAAGATCACCAAAAATGAGTTAAAAATATTATAAAACCTTATATATCTTTAAGGTGAATTTTTGCCAAATTTCACTAGATCATATCTCACGATTGGACTGTTCTAACAAATCCAAATTTTATATAAAGTATTGATGTATTTTTAACAACCATCACAACAAATTTAAACTAAAAATTCATTACAAATCTTGAGATATTGCCAAAATTTTAATAGTAGCTTCAAATCCTTGTTTACATATACTTGTGTGAAAATTTCTTTATATCTCACAAAATAAGTATTTAAATACCATAAAATTTTGATATATAGCTTCTTGTTCTAATACCACACGCTACTAGAAAATTTGAGCCAAAAATTCTTCCAAAAATTCAAGATATGGCTCCAACCATTGCTATTAATAAAACAACTCTCTTATTGCCTTTGAATTATATATATATATATATTATCTTCAATGGTCTATACAAACTCCAAATACAAAAATTCTTTTACAAGAGATGTAGATCTTAAAATTACCCTTGTAGTTGTTTCTTTTGATTTCTAAAATCTATGATAAAACTCCTTGTATCTTCAAAATAGTAATAATATGTCTTAAAAAAATACCTTAACTTCAAATGACTATAACATCATCACTTTAATTCCAAATCTTCTAAATTTTATATACAAATTGTAGTCCAAATCCTAAACCTTACAATCACTATTTTTGATTCTTAAATGCTCCTTTTAAAGTTATCAAAATTCTTATTATGGTTGTAGACAATCTACTGAATGCCTATTGGGCATGGCCTTTGACCAATAGGAATGAATATCTTTATCTTTTGCCTTCATCCGACCATGCCTTGATTTCATCTCTCTACATAAGCCTCATAGTAGTTTAGATTTTCATCCTCAAGCTTCTATCTTTTCTTAAAGTTCTATACTGAACATCTAAATCTTATATAATTTAAATACTATAATAAAAATAGATGAAATCAAAATAAATTTTCTTATATCTATTGTCTTTAAATTGATTTATTAACCATTCTAAAATACATCAAGACTTATGAACATAAAATACGTTTTAACTAATTTTTACATACTATAAGCATTTATAATACATCATCAAGGAGGGAAAGACCATCCAATTATTTGATCATTATTGAGGCCTTCATAACTTCCTTCAAATAAAGCATTTGGAATATCATCAAGAATTGTTCCTATCTCTAGTAAAATCACCAAACATTGGAAGTCCCTTCCTAGGTTGTGATACTAAATGCATTGTTTTTTGCCATCTATTTGAAGAAGAACATGCCATTCTTGAGGATCTTCATTTTGGTTGCGTTGTCTTGAAGGTTGTGACAATTATAATGTCTGGCCTCTTAAGTTAGCAAATGAAGGCTCTTGAGTCAAATCTATTAGTTATTGGTTTTCCATCTCTTTAGTATAACAAATACAAAGAAGTTATAATAAAGATAGAAAGTAGAATATTATCTTGCCTAGATTTTGTTATTAAATTAGAGGAAGGTAATTTCTTTATATCTCAAAAAATAAGTACTCAAATACCATGAAACTTTGATTTATATATTTTTAACTTAATAATTTACACTTACAAAAATTTTGAGCCAAAAATTCGTCTAGAAACTCAAGATATGGCTCCAACTATTACTATCAACAAAATGACTCACATACTATCTTTGAATTACATATGTTGTCTTCAATGCCCTATAATTCCTTCATCTAGACTTGAAATTCATCAAAAAATATATATAAAGTGTAGCCAAGAAAGTGTTCTCTTTAATTCTAGTTGCTGATCTTTTATTGCTCTCCGTACGCATATGTTATGCTTCAAAGAATGAGAGTAGGTACAAATTTGACACCTTAACTTTGAACACCTATATCTCCTTCACAAAAACTTAAAATCACACAAAATCTTCATCCAAATTATATCCAAAAA